TAGAAGGTGTTGTTACTCAGCATCACAAAGTGTTTCTAACAGTAGAGATCTAAGTGGTACCACATACAACTGTAGAGGGTGTTGTTATTCAGAATTCAAAAGTGTTTCTAATAGTAAAGACCCAGGTAGTACCAATTGCAACTGGAAAGGGTGTTGTTATTCAGTATGGCAAAGTGTTTCTAATAGTAGAGATCTGGATAGTACCAACTGCAACTGTAGAGAGGGTTGTTACTCAGCATGATAAACTATTTCTAATAGTAGAGCTCTAGGTAGTACCAACGAAAACTGTAGAGGGTGTTGTTACTCAGTATGGCAATGTGTTTCTAACAGTAGAAATCTAAGTGGTACCACATACAACTGTAGAGGGTGTTATTACTCAGAATTCAAAAGTGTTTCTAATAGTAAAGACCCAGTAGTACCAATAGCAACTGGAAAGGGTGTTGTTATTCAGTATGACAAAGTGTTTCTGATAGTAGAGACCTGGGTAGTACCAACTGCAACTGTTGAAGGTGTTGTTACCCAGTATGACAAAGTGTTTCTAACAGTAAAGATCTAGGTAGTACCAATAGCAACTGGAAAGGGTGTTGTTATTCAGTATGACAACGTGTTTCTGATAGTAGAGACCTGGGTAGTACCAACTGCAACTGTTGAAGGTGTTGTTACTCAGTATGACAAAGTGTTTCTAACAGTAGAGATCTGGGTAATACCAAATAAAACTGTAGAATATGCAGCATGACAAAGTGTTTCTAATAGTAGAGATCTAGGTAGTACTAACTGCAACTGTAGAGAGTGTTATTACTCAGTATGACAAAGTGTTTATAATAGTAAAGCTCTAGATATTACCAATGCAACTGTATAGTGTGTTGTTACTCAGTATGACAAAGTGTTTCTGTCATCATATAAAAGACTGTTTGGTTTAAATATTAGTGATTAATTTATATTTGTGAATGAATGTTTCAATTACTTTTAAGTTTTATTATAATAAGAGTTAAAAGCAGATGATTGTAGAAGGTTTTGTTAATAACTAATTGGTGTTGAGAATACAAAAAGTGGCCAGCCGATTATATAATAAAGATATAAATAGCGTGAGACGAGCGGGAAGCAGTAGACAGACAACAATAGACAGATAATAGCAAAAGAGAATACAGTTGTGTGAAATTAAGTACTGCAAAGGTGATAGGCCTAATGTTTAATATGTTAGAGTGAAAGTAACAGTATAAAAAAAAGTATAATTTTATTCCGTCAAAGCATGGTTCTAAAGTAATTGAATCAGCATGGGTACACTTTGACAAAAGGAACAGACGATACTCAAAAAAAAGAAGACCAAACGAATTACGGTAATTTGCGCCACAACTGTAAGTGAATCACACACGGAATACTAGTACGATAGTAATAAAGAGAAAATAGTTCAACTTGTCAACTGAAATTTTAAAGTAATTGAATAGGCCTAAGTGAACGTTTGACAAGAAGAAGAAACACTGTATATAAATAGTGTTTATGATATGCCTGTAATCTCTATAGTGTGAAGACT